ATGATGATAAATTATATATCTCGCCGCGATTAATGAGATTAAAACGGCAAAGGTTGCACCAGTTTTATCATTTAGAAAATGTGTTGCCTGAAAGATATAAAACGTCTGATTCAGACCATCAATTAAAGAACATTTAAAATGCTTTTTAAAAACGTGAGAAATTCTTGAAGAACTCGCTCATTTAATAAAGTTCACGGTTTTCAAAGTCATTTTAAAGCGGCAAAACCATATTTATTTTGCGTATTTTAAGAGATTTTGCCCCGATTGCTAATAATCGTGGCGACAGTTTTCAGTCCTGCAGGTGGAAGACCTCGATTTCATTAATAACAAACTTTGAAAAAAGTTTAAAGAAAATTTCAGAAATTCCAGATTTTGATGAAGATAAATTATATATCTCGCCGCGATTAATGAGATTAAAACGGCAAAAGTTGCACCAGTTTTATCATTTAGAAAATATGTTGCCTGAAAGATATAAAACGTCTGTTTCAGACCATCAATTAAAGAACATTTGAAATGCTTTTAAAAAACGTGAGGAATTGTTGAAGAACTCGCTCATTTAATAAAGTTCACGGTTTTCAAAGTCATTTGGAAGCGGCAAAACCATTTTTGATTTTGCGTATTTTAAGAGATTTTGCCCCGATTGCTAATAATCGTGGCGACAGTTTTCAGTCCTGCAGGTGGAAGATCTCGATTTCAAAAATAACTAACTTTGTAAAAAAGTTTAAAGAAAATTTCAGAAATTCAAGATTTTGATGATGTTAAATTATATATCTCGCCGCGATTAATGAGATTAAAACGGCAAAAGTTGCACCAGTTTTATCATTTAGAAAATATGTTGCCTGAAAGATATAAAACGTCTGATTCAGACCATCAATTAAAGAACATTTAAAATGCTTATTAAAAACGTGAGGAATTGTTGAAGAACTCGCTCATTTAATAAAGTTCACGGTTTTCAAAGTCATTTGGAAGCGGCAAAACCATTTTTGATTTTGCGTATTTTAAGAGATTTTCCCCGATTGCTAATAATCGTGGCGACAGTTTTCAGTCCTGCAGGTGGAAGACCTCGATTTAATTAATAACAAACTTTGAAAAAAAGTTTAAAGAAAATTTCAGAAATCCAAGATTTTGATGAAGATAAATTATATATCTCGCCGCGATTAATGAGATTAAAACGGCAAAAGTTGCACCAGTTTTATCATTTAGAAAATGTGTTGCCTGAAAGATATAAAACGTCTGATTCAGACCATCAATTAAAGAACATTTAAAATGCTTTTAAAAAACGTGAGGAATTGTTGAAGAACTCGCTCATTTAATAAAGTTCACGGTTTTCAAAGTCATTTTAAAGCGGCAAAACCATATTTATTTTGCGTATTTTAAGAGATATTGTCACAATTGCTAATAATCGTGGCGACAGTTTTCAGTCCTGCAGGTGGAAGACCTCGATTTCATTAATAACAAACTTTGAAAAAAGTTTAAAGAAAATTTCAGAAATTCCAGATTTTGATGATGATAAATTATATATCTCGCCGCGATTAATGAGATTAAAACGGCAAAAGTTGCACCAGTTTTATCATTTAGAAAATATGTTGCCTGAAAGATATAAAACGTCTGTTTCAGACCATCAATTAAAGAACATTTGAAATGCTTTTAAAAAACGTGAGGAATTGTTGAAGAACTCGCTCATTTAATAAAGTTCACGGTTTTCAAAGTCATTTGGAAGCGGCAAAACCATATTTATTTTGCGTATTTTAAGAGATTTTCCCCGATTGCTAATAATCGTGGCGACAGTTTTCAGTCCTGCAGGTGGAAGACCTCGATTTCATTAATAACAAACTTTGAAAAAAGTTTAAAGATAATTTCAGAAATCCAAGATTTTGATGATGATAAATTATATATCTCGCCGCGATTAATGAGATTAAAACGGCAAAAGTTGCACCAGTTTTATCATTTAGAAAATGTGTTGCCTGAAAGATATAAAACGTCTGATTCAGACCATCAATTAAAGAACATTTAAAATGCTTATTAAAAACGTGAGGAAATGTTGAAGAACTCGCTCATTTAATAAAGTTCACGGTTTTTAAAGTCATTTTAAAGCGGCAAAACCATATTTATTTTGCGTATTTTACAAGATTTTGCCCCGATTGCTAATAATCGTGGCGACAGTTTTCAGTCCTGCAGGTGGAAGACCTCGATTTCATTAATAACAAACTTTGAAAAAAAGTATAAAGTAAATTTCAGAAATTTCAGATTTTGATGATGATAAATTATATATCTCGCCGCGATTAATGAGATTAAAACGGCAAAAGTTGCACCAGTTTTATCATTTAGAAAATGTGTTGCCTGAAAGATATAAAACGTCTGATTCAGACCATCAATTAAAGAACATTTAAAATGCTTTTTAAAAACGTGAGAAATTCTTGAAGAACTCGCTCATTTAATAAAGTTCACGGTTTTCAAAGTCATTTTAAAGCGGCAAAACCATATTTATTTTGCGTATTTTAAGAGATTTTGCCCCGATTGCTAATAATCGTGGCGACAGTTTTCAGTCCTGCAGGTGGAAGACCTCGATTTCATTAATAACAAACTTTGAAAAAAGTTTAAAGAAAATTTCAGAAATTCCAGATTTTGATGAAGATAAATTATATATCTCGCCGCGATTAATGAGATTAAAACGGCAAAAGTTGCACCAGTTTTATCATTTAGAAAATATGTTGCCTGAAAGATATAAAACGTCTGTTTCAGACCATCAATTAAAGAACATTTGAAATGCTTTTAAAAAACGTGAGGAATTGTTGAAGAACTCGCTCATTTAATAAAGTTCACGGTTTTCAAAGTCATTTGGAAGCGGCAAAACCATTTTTGATTTTGCGTATTTTAAGAGATTTTGCCCCGATTGCTAATAATCGTGGCGACAGTTTTCAGTCCTGCAGGTGGAAGATCTCGATTTCAAAAATAACTAACTTTGTAAAAAAGCTTAAAGAAAATTTCAGAAATTCAAGATTTTGATGATCATAAATTATATATCTCGCCGCGATTAATGAGATTAAAACGGCAAAAGTTGCACCAGTTTTATCATTTAGAAAATATGTTGCCTGAAAGATATAAAACGTCTGTTTCAGACCATCAATTAAAGAACATTTGAAATGCTTTTAAAAAACGTGAGGAATTGTTGAAGAACTCGCTCATTTAATAAAGTTCACGGTTTTCAAAGTCATTTGGAAGCGGCAAAACCATATTTATTTTGCGTATTTTAAGAGATTTTCCCCGATTGCTAATAATCGTGGCGACAGTTTTCAGTCCTGCAGGTGGAAGATCTCGATTTCAAAAATAACTAACTTTGTAAAAAAGCTTAAAGAAAATTTCAGAAATTCAAGATTTTGATGATCATAAATTATATATCTCGCCGCGATTAATGAGATTAAAACGGCAAAAGTTGCACCAGTTTTATCATTTAGAAAATATGTTGCCTGAAAGATATAAAACGTCTGATTCAGACCATCAATTAAAGAACATTTAAAATGCTTTTTAAAACGTGTGGAATTGTTGAAGAACTCTTTTATTTAATTAAGTTCACCAGTTTTGTCATTTAGAAAATATGCCTGAAATAGTGAAATCGAGGGCTTCCACCTGCAGGACTGAAAATTGTCGCCACGATCATTTGCAAACGAGGAAAAATCGTGTAAAATACAGAAAATTAATATGGTTTAGCCGCTTTAAAATGACATTGCGCGCCAGGAACTTTAACTGTTTTAATGTGATGAAACGCGCCGAGAAATATATTTGAACATATTTTACATTGAATTCTCTAATTTGCTATCGCGGCCCCCGAGTGCATGAAGCACACACGCGTTCGACCGTCTCGGAAAATCACAAAGGGATCAACACGTGCAAGCAGCGATTCGCCATTAATCATCTGGAAAGTAGCCACGTACGCTTTCAACACACGGAGGCGTCCCTCGTCTCTTGTATCGCGTGATGCGCCGTCTGATTTCTCGGGAAACGAGGCAAAAGACCCGCCGCGCGCTTTGCTTTTAGGCGCCGCCGCTATTCATCATGCAAAGTCAATGGCAATATTTCAAAGCCGCGCGCGTTCGCGATATTTCAGGCTTGCTATTTATCTTTGGCGACAATCTGATTTATAGGGAGGCATCATTAATGTCGCCGTGCGTCAGTTTATTTTGCAGGATTATTCATTTCCGATATGAATGAGCATCCTCTCGTCGTCAGCTTGAGCCACCCATCAATTCCGCGCCCAGGCAGCTTTTAATGCGTGTTTTATCGCTCGCAAAGACAAAATCTCTTGTGTCGTCCTTTCTGCCCCTAATGCGGCGTTATTTCTCACCTGGCACAAACACACACACACATGACACACGCCTTCAATAAATTTCCATTACGAGAATATCTGGAACATGCGAATGCCGCGCAGCATTATTATTCGCGCTCTATTGTGCCTATTAACACGCTAATTAGACTGTCGGAATGACTGGCTGCCTGGCTGACTGACGGCTCGGTGCGTGTGCGATTTGCGAGCCCTGCGGCGGGTATAATTGGATTACTAGAAGTTGTTTCCAAACGTGCGCGTACTAACGCAAAAGCATCCATTAGCGCTTCGAAATCAAAGAAATTTCAACTGATGACCAACTTGGGACAATAAATGAGAAACTTTTGTAATTTAAAAAAGAAAAAAATATGTGATGTTTTAATTCAATTTTTTGAGTAAAAATTGAGGAAAAAACGAACGAATAATAATTTTCCATAATCAAAAAATCGCCAATTTAAATTTGAGCTTTCATTAAAAGTAGTCAAGTTGATAAATGATGAAAAAATTTCATCATTGAGTTCTGTCAAGGTTGGTTTTGATTTTTTTTAAACAGTCTCTAGTATTCGACCACTTACACCGGCCTTTTTCTAAAACAAATTGTTTTCAAAAATTGAATGTAAACAATTTGATGCATGTAACAATAAAGAACATTAAAAAATAATGATTTTGAAAGACTCACCAACGACTTGCAAGTAGCCGACTTGACTAATCATCGGGTTGGTGTTGACCTGGCACATGTAGTAACCCCTGTCCTCCTGCTGGACGCCCGACACGTGAAGCAACCACGTCTTCTGGTTGTCGAAGGACACGCTGAATCGCGGCAATCTTGCGATCACGTGCCGGTGAATGGTAAGAATCATCTGTCGGTCTATGTGGATCCAGGCGACCTGCGAACAATTCCAACAACAACCATGACAGTAATTGAAATTTGTTTGCAAAACACCGCACGGCGTTTTATTGATAACGGATTTTCCGCCCAATCTTCCGGCATGAAATTGAATCAACCGATCCCGCAGTCCCAGCGTGTCAAGCGCGCGCATATTCGCATGCATTAATTAAATTTGCGCCTATATATTCGAATGGCGTTTTGATACGAGTGAATCGATCGCTGCAGCACGCAGTCGGCCGGGCAAAATGCAAACAGTCGAAATGAGCGAAAGGAATGCAAATTCATTTATTAGTGCGCGCGGCACGGGCCGAACTCGGCAGCCGCCCAGGCCGTTTTATTATTCGGCCCGGTGCATGACGAGGGCCTGCAGGGACTCGCGCCTCTCGCTCTCTCGTTTAAAATAAACCTACAAACATCAAAATTCAATAGCAAATGCGCCACTTTTTATCGCACCCTCAGGGATTTACAGCATTAAAAATAAAAAACGAATTTTGCGTGCGATGCAGCGCGACCAGAGAGAGAAACTTTGGGCTGCTCAACGCGCTCTTTATTTTAAATGAAGTGTCTCGCTGCTCGGAGGGTGAAAGCGAGATGAAGCGCCTCCTCTTTTAACACATGAGCCCCCGCGTGTACGCTATTTCAAGAGTGGACGTTTTTCTCAGAAAAGTATTTTAAGCAGCGGGAGAGCTGGATTTTCCATTTACTTTTGAATTTTGGACGTTTAGAATTTTTCATTGGTTCCATGTATAACTGGAAATTATTTTTTATTTAACTAAAAATAATGTTTATTAAGATTCAGGTCCTGTGTGAGTTATTTTTTATTATTTGAAAATATGTACGATGTTGTTGAAATTAATTACCAAGCGCGTATGATTGTGTAATTGATATTTATCTTTTTAATTAATAAATGCAGAGAACAGCTGCAGAGAAAATTAATAATTAATTAAGTCGGCAGAGGAGCTGCAAGCTAAATTAGCAACTGCGACGAAGCAAATTAAATAAGCACAAAACTGCAAAAATGGTGCAGTGTGTACAATAAAGTGAATTTAGAGCAAAACATCGCAGCTCCTCTTGACACTCTCGCGGAATAAGGAAGCAGCAGTCGTAAAAAGTACGGAAGAGTAGACAGGCCTTCTTTTTATGCTTTGGAAGTGTATTTGCATATCAAAGGACAGCAGAAAGTGTCGCTCGCTGGATTAACAAGCTGGGCGAGTAAAAAATTCATTTGACCAACACATCGCGCAGGGAAAGTTTTCAATTTGAATAAATCCGTTTGAAGTTGGCAATCCGTGCGTCTGGCGGATTAAAAATCTTTCGCAAATTTTGCTCCAATTGAATTACAAGTGTCTGTTTCGGCGACCCGGGGTAGAAAATCGGCGAGCTTCTTCTTTTTCGTCGCAAACCAACCTGCGTTGTGCCAATTTCCTTGGCAGCGAGTGAGCGAGCGACTCCCCCGGCACCATTTTATTCGCAATGCAAATACGCACGCGAATTTCCTCAAGCCAAGAGTGACGAAATTAAGTTATTCGCATACACGGCTCGGGCAAATCAGAGCTGGCGGAAGAAATTGTGCTGCAACGACGCGCCCTTGCTTTTTATCCATTTCATGTTTCGCTGAATGCAAATAACGAGAGACACCCGTCCAGACGTATTTTAAAAGATCCTCTTCCAGTTACAAATCTCTACGCTATCATGCATGAGAATTTGTCCATTCCAATTTCGCCGTCGCCCGAGTGCCGCTGAACAAAAAAGAAAATGCTCCTTTTCAGCCGCCGAGCTGTGTGTTTCAGTTATCTCGCTGCGAGTGAGCGAGCGACTCTTATTTATTCTCCTTTTGCCTCATGAATACATAAACTGATTCATCTGCTCTTTGCTACATATAAATAAAACTCGCGGCGCAGAGATTGGACCGACAATGACTGGCTTTTGACCGTGTGCAAACTCGGGCTGGACGGGACTTCTTTTTTTTATCTTTTTGCTTCACATTCATTCGCATGTATGTATGCATCGAATGCGGACGTAAAAATAGAGCTCCCCTGCTTTTTGTTTGTCTCCGTTTGCCTGCGCTTTTTCATTGCGGACTGTATTAGCCAGCGAGAGGACCTTTAAATGCTCGGCGACTTTTCATCTGACGTGGAAAGGGTTCAGGAAAATCTCGCGCCCCGAGCGCATGCACAGACGTATGGGTCTGAGTTGAGATTTTCGTTCTCCGCCGCCGTCAGGAAAATATTTTCATGCATGTCAAAACAGCGTATATCAACTGCTTCAAATGAGAAAAAGAAAGCTCTTTGACAGAAATGCCGTTCCACCAGCAGCAGCAGGGGAAATAAATCCGAATTCCACGTGGTGCAGAAAAGAATGCAGCCTGAAATTTACGAGCCTCTTTCCTTCTCTCTCTGTGTTCTCTCTTCTCGCGTTTGGCGCTGAGCCGGTTGGTGTTCACCCAATCAAGAAGAAAAAAGAGAGAACTGGGGAGAAGTTTTTTGATCTCGACCGAAAAGACAAAGTATTTATACGCGGCGGAAGAAAAGTATACACTTGATGTTTTTAAAGGGGAAGTTTCTGCGCCAGCAAGTTTCTAGGAAGCCTAAGTGGAATAAGAGTAGGAAGGTGGGTTTGACACCTGCTGCCTCTTGGAAAGGTGCCATCCCCGCACGAGTGTTTTTAAAGAGGCCTCGATTGAATTTTGCTCTCGCTCTCTGATTCAAATTTTGGTCTTCTCCGGCGCAGTTTTTTGCTCTTTTTCTCCCACCGACCGATTTCACAAGGCGATCAGCAGCAACTCAATAATGAGAGCGAGAAAATCGACGAGAGAGCTCGAAAGCAAATTAGCACCATCGATTGAGAAAGTTGGCATTTGTCACGCAATTCTCGTTTTTACGCGCACCCATTTGCGATTCCGGTGCCAGATTATAGAAAGGCAAATTTTTTCGCCTGTTTGCAATACAAGCACGACTCAAAATGTGCGTCGCACTCACCCGTTAACAAAACCCATCAGGCCGGCAATAAATTTATTATGCGGCGCGTTGCCTATTTTTGCCCGTCGGCGCAACTTTTGCCCACTACTGTTAGTCTCAAACATATGGTCCTGCTGGAAATTTTCCAGCAGCTCTATAAGAAAATTGAAGGTCCAGGTCGAAATGTAGTCCTGATGGAAATTTTCCAGCAGGAAATTTTCCAGCAGGTCTATAAGAAAATTGATGGTCCAGGTCGAAATGTAGTCCTGCTGGAAATTTTCCAGCAGGTCTAAGAGCAAATTTTAAGTCCAGGACTAAATGTAGTCCTGCTGGAAATTTTTCAGCAGGTCTATGATAAAATTTAAAATGATGGTCTAAATGTAGTCCTGCTGGAAATTTTTCAGCAGGTCTATGAGAAAATTTAAAATTAAGGTTTAAATGTAGTCCTGCTTGAAATTTTCCAGCAGGTCTATGATAAAATTTAAAATGATGGTCTAAATGTAGTCCTGCTGGAAATTTTTCAGCAGGTCTATGAGAAAATTTAAAATTAAGGTTTAAATGTAGTCCTGCTTGAAATTTTCCAGCAGGTCTATGATAAAATTTAAAATGACGGTCTAAATGTAGTCCTGCTGGATATTTTTCAGCAGGACTTTGAGAAAATTTAAAGTACAGGCCTAAATGTAGTCCTGCTGGAAATCTCCCAGCAGGTCTATGAGAAAATTTAAAGTGTAGACCTAAATGTTGTCCTGCTGGAAATTTTCCAGCAGGTCTATAAGAAAATTAAAAGTACAGGTCTATGATAATTTTCAAAATATAGGTCTCAAACTGCAGTCCTGATCGGTACGCAAGTAGCTGCCACTCTCACAGTGATTTTTTACTGAATAATTTGTGTAAAATAATTTTGTTTTGTGGTTTCTTTCGGCCTCAATGAATCAGTCAGTATCATATTTTTTTTTAATTGTATTCTGTGAGCCCGGAGTTTATTTTTCTCTTGAGCATAGTCTTACATGAAATTGCTAAAAATGAAGGTGGAGAAATTGCGATTCTTATATAAAAAAATCAATATCATCAATATCATGAAACTACTTAGGTAAAAATTTCCAAAATTGGAATAAACGAGATTTTTTCGTAACACATCTCAAGTTACACACATAAATGATTGAAATTCAATTTCATATCAATTATTTGAAAGACCAAGGTGTAAAATTGTAATTAAATCCATTTTCTTTCAGAAGATTCACATGAGAAAGTGCCGTCAATCTTTCAAACGCTGCCAGAGTCACTCGTTCAATATTTAATGAGATGGCGGGCCTAATTTTCATAACTGCATTAGCTCGCGACTTAAAGGGTTGGCGTTTCGCCTGTGATGTTTTAAGGACGTGCTCTCGCTCGCCTTGGCCGCTGCTCCTCTTAATTTAAAATGCATTAGGCTGGAGCGAGGCAGAGCAGGAGACAGACGCTGTAAATCTGCCGGCGCCGAGTGAAGGATGCCGCGGTGCTCTCTCTCGTTGTTGGTGAAATGACAGGTACGTTGACACCACCTTAAGGCGCTGCCACGCCTCGGGCCTTTATATTCGTATAATTTAATGCGCCAGACTAGAAAAGCAGAAGTCGCAGACGCAATTTCAGCAAAACAAGCTTGCATTTGCAGGCGCCGCGCGCACCGAACTTGTTTTCCCGAGATAAGAATAATAATACTAAGTGGCTTGCACGATGGAGGAGAAAATTATATTTTGCCGCGTGTGAGAGCAGGCGGGCGCGCGTCTAACCGCGAAAAAGCTTTTTGCGCGACGCCGCTCTCTGACTTATTAAAGAATTATACACGGAGAGAGAACGCGGCGCGTTCCCCCTACTCTGCGGTGAGATGGCATTTCGGCGATAAACTTTCAAGAGTTGCAATTTCGCACGATGCCTCCTCTCTTAACCAGATTTCCCATTCTGCGGTAGCGAAACGAGCCGACCCGGTGCTGAATCAATTGCCACGCCTAATTAATTGCAAAACAAGGCTGTTTTCTCCGATCCAATTGAATATTTTCTTCTA